ATTTTTCCCCGGTGATCTGTTAGACGCATGATCTAGCTATATCATTTGTTTGCAAACTAATCATGCTCTGCCTTTACAGCATCTATTGCGTTGGTAATTTACTCTTGTATTTTCCCAGGGTCTGTACTTTCTTCTCCCAACTAAATGTAAGCTCCTGGAGAGCATGGTTCACATCTTACAGAAGGCTAGGCATAGAGCAAACACTTTAAAAATGTGTGCAGATCTGGACTCAGGAATCCAAAATAACATTCTCAGAGATTTAGAGAAGGTTTTTTGTATTAGAAATCAGGTTTTATTTTTCTTAAAATAATTCATGAGCATGTTTGTATCTAAATGTTAACAGAGGAGCCATGTGGTGTATGCAGACACCCTAAATATTAAAAAGAAAGAGATTTTCAGTGTATTCATTATGTATTAAAATCCTGCATCACAGCCACCCCTGAGTGCAAATATATTTCAAATTTTATGCTGGCCGCCTATTGCAAAATGCTAATTGAATTGATTTCCTGGAGCTGTGTCGCTAATAAATAAGAGTGCAACATGGATCTGGGATTCTTGGGTCAAAAATAGAGAGCATGAGTGTTTTGCTGAGAGAAAATAGTGTGTAGGAAAATGTCTTAGCATCCAAAAGAGCTGCAAAGTTCGGTCTTTAAGGATGGAGCCACTGAGTGAGCAGTTGAGAGGTGCTAGGTGACATACCAGAGTGGGATGTCTCTGAGCCTCACTGGACTGGGCTGGCCAGTGCCACCAGGATGTCCCATGTGGTCATGTGCGTGGATGGATACACTCACACTGTAGGGCACACGCTTCACCACTTGCTACTTTTGTGGCCTTGGGCCACTTACTTCTTCCCTCCAAGCCTGAATTTGCTCCTCTGTAACTATGGAATAAGTACACACCTCCCAAGAGTTGGATGAAGATTTGTTAAGATGATGTATGTTGAGGTCTTCACACGGAGTTGGAAGCATAGTTCGTACCCAGTAAATGACAGTTGGGAGACATGACCATCTGGATGCCCTGGGAAGTGGCAGCTCTACCATTTTCATACCCAGGCTCACACCCTTCTTCCTGCAGGTCAGCAGGAGCGTGCCTTTGCTGGGGCAGAACATGCTAACAACTGTGACGAGCATGTTATCCATGGGGGCTTTGAGGGCGTAGAACAGAAGGCCCCAAATTGACTCCCCCATACCCTCAAGCCATAGCCATTTCAGGTTATTCGTCAAAGCCAGATCTGTTTAGAGTTCCCTGTGGACTGAGCTCTACCATACAGCCTTCTTTCTTTACCAAGGTGAAGATGCTTTGAGTGGCAAGTAATAACTGTGTGAGTCAAAATGGCTGAAACCGTGCAGATGGATGATTGGTTCCTGTGGCTGAGGAAGGCCCAGGGTAGAGCAGTGGGAAAGTCCACTCAGGGCTCTGCTCAGCCGGCTGACTCCCCTGGCTCCGTCCTCCTCTGTGCATTGCCTGGACTGTCCCTGGTCTGCTTGCAAGATGGCTGAAGCAGCTCTGGGCCGTCCATCTTCACATAATGATCTCCAAGGAATGAGAGCAAGAGTAGGTTCCAGAAACTTTCCAGAGAGAAAACGGAATCTCTTTTCCCAGAAGCTGCCAGTCAGTTTCTCCTCCCATCTCATTGGCCTAAATTTGGTCTCATGATTATTCCTGAGTCAACGCCCATGGCTTATTGGATGCCAGGTGCTGATTGGCTTCACCATGGCACTTGGTCCATGCCTGACTTAGTCCCTGGAGCAGCAGGAACAGGAAAACCTGATTAGCTTTGACTAAATTAGAGTCCACCCCCCACCCCCAGGGCTGCCGTTGCAAGAGGCCACGAGTGAGATGGATGTTAAAGAGACACCACAATGCCCACCATTCTGTTGGTATTTAACTCACCATTTCCTATAATTCAGCAAACAATTATGAAATGTCTGCTGTGTGCCAGGCTGGGTGCAGGATGTGGGACAAGGGGCTCCGTGTTATTGAGCAAAATAAATGAGTCACTTATGCAAAGTGCTTGTTGCATCCCTCAGTCCCTAATACCTGTTCAGTATTGTCTTCATTACTTGTTTAGTATTGTCTTCATTGAAATGAATAATGCATGAGTGCTCCCCGCCATCCAAGAGACAGACTTAAACAAATAAATTCTAGCAGTGTGCGAAGAGTGTCAGGAGGAAACCTGCCGGTGGCATAAAGGAAAGTGATCCGTAAGGACTATGCGGAAGGCCCGACCTCAGGAAGCTTATAGCCCGGTGGTTCTTAACCTTGACTTCAGGTTTGACTCATCCAAAGAGTTTTTGAAACTCCTTACATGAATTAGTTCACAGTCTTTGGGGCAAGGACCTATCACCAGGATCTGTTTGCCTTTTTAAAGATCCCCAGATGATTAAAATGTGCATTCAAGGTTGAGAACCACCATTATAGGTGATCGAAGACATAAAACACACACGGAAACCATGAACTAACGATGCCAGGTTGTGAGGGGTACATTAAAATTAACTGTCAGTGTCCCAAGGCTCAGGGCAGGGAGAGGGCATGGTGGACAGGAGGCTCATGAAAGATTTCTGTGAGCAGCAGGGGTCAGGGATTTTAAGGAGCCTTGAAGGACCAGTGGGATTTGCATAATCCGAGCAGTTTGGAGGTGATATCTATGTGCAAGGCGGGATAGGTATGAGCAAAGGTCTGTGTGCAAACCTGGATGGTATATCAGTCCGGACCCAAATAGGAAAGAGAAACCACACAGTAATTTGAACAGGGAAATTGAAAGAATTTTTACCTATAACATAGGAATGGAATAATGAAGGATTAGCTACTAAGATAGAACTCTAAAGAATATAGGAATGCAGGTATCAGGGGCATCCTCTCCCCCAGGGCTGAGACAGAGTGCCCACAGGAGTGCCCACAGAATACGCACCCCTCCCCGCCCCCAGCGGCCCCTAGGCTGCTGTTCAGACTTTGCTGACACAGCGTGGCTCATTGAAGGGCAGAAAAGTCACTGTGGTGTCACTCAGGCAGAACTTTTCGGAGATCTGCCCTCCAGGGTGCTACCGGGGAAGCTATTCACAGGAAATGCTTCCCGGAAGCGCTCTCTGCTGGGGGACGGTGCATTGCAAGAGCTGCAAGAGAACTGGGAGGCAAAGCCCAGAAGTGTCCCCTCCAAGCAAGCAGAGACTCACTGTGGCTTTTATTCGCATCTCTCTAATGATTAGTGAGGTCGAGCATTTTTTCATGTCTGTTGGCCATCTGTACGTCCTCTTTAGAAAAATGTCTCTTCATGTCCTGTGCCCATTTTTTAATTGGGTTGTTTGTTATTTCGGTGTTAAGTTGAATTCATTTTGTGAGGAGTGTAAATGTCTGTTACATTTTTTTGCACACCTGAAACCAATTAAATAACAAACAAACAAACAAACAAAAAACAGCAGAGGCTCAGAGAGGTTCCAAAGCCTTGCCATAGAATTAACAGTGCTGAAGTTGGACACCAATCCATCTTTTCCATATCTTCTGCTTCCTCTCTGAACAAACAAGTGCAAGATAAGGCTAAGTCTGTCGGTGTCGGCTGCCCAGGAACGGAAGGGCCTGTGCTCAGTGAAGTCAGTGGGGAAGGCCTCCCGGTTGAGGTGAGGATTCAAATGGACCTTAGGGGAAGCCCGATTGGAAAACCATGGAGGAAGTAGGAGGAGGTAACTTCCAGGCTGGCTTTGCAACACATGCTGAAGAGTGGACCCCAGCTCAGGCAAGACTCAGCTCAGCTAGTAGAGAACAGTAGAAAGCTAGAACAAGGCCATGAGAAGAAAATGAGAGGTAGAACAGAATCAGGGAAGTCCTTATAAGCCAAAGAAACGGAATTTGAGCAGATGTGAAGTCAACACATTTCAAGAGAGCCAGCGCCCATGGATGTGGGGTTCCTGGGATTCCTCAACTGCATGCCAACCTTTCAGTGGAAAATAGAGGAGCTAATGCCAGCTTTGGAGTCAGGCAGATCAGGACTGTAGTACCAGCTCCAGTGTTTGAGCTCTGTGTCCTGGGGCAAGTCCCTCAACCTTTCTGAGTCTCAGCATTCTTCAGGTGTCAGCTGGAAACAGTAATACCATCTTTGCAGACTTGATCAGATGAAGTTCCTAGCAGACAGCCTGGCACACAGCAGGCTTTTAATTAATGGTAGCTTTCTTCTCCCTCCTTTATTTTATTTTTAAAATTGGGGAATTAGGGGAGGGGAACAGTGTTGGGGGAATTGGGGAGGGGGACCAGCCAAGTTGTTGTTCTTCAATCTTAGTTGTGGAGGGCACCAGTTGCCATCTGACTGCCCAGCTCGTGGACTGTAAGCTCAAGGTGCTGTGTTACAAATCTTAGTTGCAGGTGGCGTAGCCACCATCCCATGCAGGAGTCGAACCAGCAGCCTTGTTGTTAAGAATGCACGCTCTATCCACTGAGCCACCCGGGCAGCAGCTCAGCTCAAGGTGCCGAGTTCAGTCTTAGTTGCGGGCGGGCACAGCCCACCATCAAACAGGCAGTCTTGTTGTTAGGAGCACGTGCTGTCACCAGCTGAGCCATCCTGCCACCTGTTGGGAGTTCAGCAGCAGCTCAGCTCGGGCGCAGCGTCACTGGCTCATGTGGGAATTGAACCGGCGGCCCTGTTGCTCAGAGCTCGTGCCCTTAAGCTAACTCTTAACCAACTGAGCCACTTGGCCGGCCCCTCCCTCCTATATTTTATTCTGTAGGCCTTTCCTGTCTTCTAAGACATTCATGTCTCTGAAAGTAACTGTTTTAAAATTCAGAAATTCCAGGATCCCTCAAATAGGTGCAGCTGGAGAATGCCAAGGTATTGGAGTCACTAACATCCTCTTGTTGAGGTTCTGACCACTGAGCTCAGCACTTGGAAGGAAAAGATCAGGTGTAGGGAACAGCGTCAATATATCCTTGGCTTGTGGGCCAGATGGTACCTTGCAGTGGTATTTTATACCCGGTCTCCACAGGGCAAATAACGGCGCTTCTTTATCTTTTAGGAGGAGAAGTCACCAAACCACGGTTTGCTCAATTCTTCCACGGCAGCCTGGCCAGTCTCACCATCCGCCCTGGAAAAATGGAGAGTCAGAAGGTGATTTCCTGCCTGCAGGCCTGCAAGGAAGGGCTGGATATTAATTCCCTGGAAAGCCTCGGCCAAGGAATAAAGGTAAGGAAGGAGCCAGCATCACCCCCAATAAGATACTGATCCACGAAGCGGAGGCTGCCCAGCCCCAGTGCTCTCTGGGAAATGGAGTCTTCTCCTGTCCAGTTGCACAGAAATGGTGCCACAGCAAAGGTGCTGCCACAGGAGGGAGGTTAGTGACCATGACTCTCTAATGGATGCCGGCTGCCGTCTCCTGAAATTCCTAGACGAAGCCCTTGTGTGTAATCAGTTCACACTACCCAAAAGCCAGCACACATTCAATGGCTACCAAGGGAGAGTTGCTGTATTTCACTTGTTTGTTGGTTGGTTACTTGCTTTCTTGTTTATTTGCCTAAAGGAACTGAAGCAGCATGCAAGAAAAGAAAACACTCAAAAATATTTTTTTTTTAAAAATGTTTTCAGCGGTTCGAGTCCAGCCCAAGCTGAGCAGCCGCTGAGCTGCCAACAGGTAGCAGGATGGCTCAGCTAAAAAAAAAAAAAAAAAATGTTTGGACCATGTAAGATACAAATTAGAAAGGAAGGCCAGTCCCACATGGGGTGGGATTGGAAAGTGATGTAGAGGTCGCTGGGTCTTCTGTTAAGTTGAGGCACACTCTGGGCTCTGAGCAGTCTCTGGCTTTCAAAGGGAATAAAAGTAGATTCATGATTTTTATCGTGCATACAAAATAAAAACATTTGAATAATCCTAGAAAATCAAAGCTGCATCCTGAGAACAGCTCCTCCTGAGGGGACGCATGATGTGGCCGACTGTGCCTCAGCGAGCACCTCCCTGGCAGACCGGTATCGCTTTGGCCTCACCTGGACCTTAGGAGTTCCAGCCAGAGTGGAGTCTCTGGGGTCCTGAGCGAAGAGCAGGATAAACTTCATGGTGGCCCCCACTTAAACATAAGGGGCTCCATGAGAGCAGGCAGCCTGCTCTCTGAAAGTTGGGGAGCCTACCCTCTGTCTCTGGGGGCATAGGACAGCCTCCTGAGGTCCCAAGAGCTGTGATGGTTCTCTTCTTGGCTGTTTCTCAAGGAGGGTGTGTCCAGAGCAGAGGTTGCCCAGCCCGCCTCCCATCCATACCCAGTGCTGCCTAAGGAGGTCCGCCCTGCCCTCCCCACCCTGGGTCTACCTCTCCTGGACAGGGAGTCACCCCTCTGACAGAGAGCCCTCTTCTTTAAGCTGCCAAAGGGCTCATGGTGCCTGACATGGGGTAGCCTTGGAGGGGTTAGTGACCTGCACACATCATGCTTTTGTTTAAGTTGCAGTTGCATCAGCAAACATTCCATGGACACTCATGTATTCAGTTTTCAACTGGGTAGAGGGACACAAAAATGAATATTCTCAGCTTATTGTCTTCATGGAACTCAATGGCCCAAGCAGACATTTGTTATCCAATGTGATAACTGCTGCAATGGTGATGAACACTAACATTCACTGAGGATCTCCCAAGTGTCAGGAGCTAGTCTAAAAGTTTTGTGGGTATGAACTCATTTAAGCCCTAGAACGACCTTATGATAAAGGCACCATGAATATTCTCATTTTACATGTGAGGAATTGAGGACTGGAAGAGAAAGGAAACTTGCCTAAGATCCCAGAGTTAGTAACAAGCGGGGCCAGAATTTGAACCCAGGCAGGAAGTCCTGCTTCGGGGCTCCAGGACTTGGAGGAATAGCAGTTAGGGAAGGCTCCTTGGAGGAGGCAAAGTCTGAGCAGAATGTTTCAGGATGGGTAGGAACCAACCAGGAAAAAGGCGGGGGCAGGGGGCAGGAGGACAAGTGGGCAGGGCGGTCACTCGAGGCAAAGCCAAGAGCCTGAGAGGTGGCAGAGGGCTGAGGAACCCCACAGTGGACCCTGGAACTCCAAGAAGGCCAGTGTTACGAGTGCCCAAATTAGGGTGGAAACACAGAAGGCGTGGCCAGAGAGGTAGGCAGAGGCCACATTATGGGGCCTTGCTAACTACGTTTAGCTGTTTACTCTGTTTTTCTGTCAGCAACAGGCAGCCACTGAAGGGCTCCAGGCAAGGAGGATTAACCTGGGCAGGTGTGGGGCTTAGGGGGTTCACCCTGGAGACTGGGTCAGAGGGGGAAGAAGGGGGAACGCAGACAGGGTAAGGCAAGAATGGGTTTCCAGAACATTGTTTAATTTGCATTAAATATACACACACGCCCGCGCACATCCACACACAGGAGCGCTCTCACATGCTAGTCACCTGTCATCGAAGGAAACTCATGAGACTGCCTCATAGTAGAAAGGCGGCCTGTTTCACGGCAGCTGGTCCAGGCAAGCCCCTCGTGGTACATTTCACACAGATATCCTCACGTGCAGATCCTGGGGGTTGATCCTTGACCTACTGTGTGTGTGTTGTTTCGTTAGTGTTTTGCCAAGCCATGCAACCCTCCCCTCTCTGTCTGATTCTCAACTGCTCCCTGCCCCTGAGTGGGTCTTTCTCTGCACTGGACCATCCCATGGAAGCAGTTTCAGGGCTCTAAACACGATGGAACAAAGAAGCCAAAGATGCTGGACTTAAAAGCCGCACATCTTAGAATTATACATGAGAACCATAGCAATTTCCAGGCATAGCCTATGAAAAGAGGAGGTGCTAAACTAAGTGGCACAAAAAGCTGGGAGGAAGGAGGCTAATCTGGCTTTTCAGGGTGCCACCTGCTCTTAACCAGTCACCTCAAAGGATCCTTTTCCATCCTGAGGGCGCTGCTGGCAAGAACTCAAATACTGCGTGAGAAGTGAATGACAAGGCACACAATTTACAATGCGTCCACTGGGGGCTATTTTAAGTTCATTATCCCTACTCCTCACAACAAATTAAATAGTATGACCCCATTTCAGAACTAAGGAGGCTGGGGCTCAGGGACTTGTCCACATTCAGATTAGAAGGTATTGTTATAATTATTAAAACTTCCTCCCTGCCCGCCCGCCCATTCATCCCTCATTTCGTGTCTGAATAGTGACTATTATTTTTCTTTACCAGTTTTCGGTCCCTTCTTTCCTCTGTGACTATCAGAGGAAGTGAGGTCCTCGTGCAAGCAAGGAATCTTCCCGTCTGCTCACGGGGCCCCGCTCGGCTCCTTTCCACTTGTTTTCCCCTGGAATATCTGTGCAGCATGCCTGGAGTCATTAAATGCTTGGGGTGGTTGCTAGCTTGTATCCAGATGGGACGCTGTGTAACAGCCACGTTCCTGAAGATTACCCTGCTCTGCTTTCCACGCACAATCCCTGTCGACCTGTCACCTCCACGGCGTGGAAGACAGGAAAGCGCAGGAACTTGAGAACGAGACAATCCTTGGTTCAAATTACAGAGCAGATAAATATCTACTGGGTGACTTTGGGCAGGGTACCTTAATCTTTTAAGTCCAATCCCCTCGTGTAAAAATGGACTTACCATTACTTTGCAGTGATGTTGTAGGAATTGAATCTTATATATATATATATATATATATATATATATATATATGAGGTAGAACAAAGATATAGATACAGATATAGACACATGGACACACACATAGATACAGATATAGATCTGCCCTAGCAAACCTAATAACTAGGCTCTCAACAAATCACAGTTCCCTTCTCCTGCTGGACTGGCTTTATACTTGGCATTGCTGCTGCCCCAGCTTCTTCTGATAAGTAAGTCTGGGTGCGAGTTGTGGCAAAGGAGCCTCTAATGTGGCAAATCTTCTGGCCCAGCCCAGAGGGGCTGGCAGGTGTCCAGGGGATGGCAAGGTGCCCGGACTGCCATGGCCAGCCTGTCCTCGAGGAACAGGCCAGCACTCTGAGCAGGAACTTTACCGATTTCTCAGCCTGCTAGGTAGGTGGTGACACAAGCTGACTCTCTAGGAGAGCTGACCACTCTGCAAAGGCCATCCGTCCAGCAGCTCTTTGGCTTAACGAGAGGAATCGCCATGGCTTCCGCACAGCTCTCCAGGGGAGAGTGAATGCTGTCACCCTTTGCTTGGTCCCCAGGAAGCCATCTCCAGCCCCCGTGGTATTGCCTATACCACCCTGTGTCCTGCACAACAAGAGACTGACCCTCAGTCATGCCATGGTGCTGTGAACACTGCAGTTTAAAAAAACAAAACAAACACACAGCCAAAACCTACTTCATGGAAGGTTTTATTGATGTGTTGATGGCTAGGCAGTCCTTGGGATGCTGTGGCACCCAGACTATGGTATTAACTGGGTATCCAACACATCCTCTTGCTGTCCTCTCCCAGGGCAGTGCGGTGGAAATGTGCCCCCTGCTGATTGCCACACGTTACTGCCAATCCAGCCCTCTGGCAGAACTTGCTTTTCCTGTTCAGCCCTCATGATAGGCTCAGAGGCTGGCCCCCTCCACAGAGGTCATCTCCTTGTCTCATGCATGTCATGTGCTAGACCCTGTGGTGATGCTAAGAAAAGCCAGTAGACCCTGCCCTCAAGGTGCTCAGAGTCTGCTGGAGGCAGCAGACAGACAGACAGCAACAGCACCACAAGACTCTGCTATAACAGGTACGGTGGTGGGACAGAAAAACCTGTGGGAACATAAGCGGTGGTTTTAGAAGAATGACCTTGAATCTGCTCAAATCTGAATCGGGTGATTTGTGAATACTCAGAACTGTAATGATTCTGTAGCACATGACAGCCAGTGAGTCATCCACAGCAAGAGAAAAGCCGACCCAGAGGCTGGCTGCAACGTCACCTTTGCATGTGGCGTCACCTTTGCATGTGGCGGGGCTCCTGGACCCAGCACAGAGTGGTGCTAGTGACCAGATGTCACATCTCAGAGAGACGCAGCTCAGGGTTTTGAGGAAAGGGAGGAACTGGATCATAGGGAAGGAGCAGTGAAGGCAGAGGAGCGAGCAGAAGCAAAGACTCGGTGCAGACATAATTGCAATATTAAGAGTTATGATAAAAGCTATCATAGATTGACACTTTATATACATTATCTCATTTAAGCCCCAACAGGTAGATATTAACATCCCCATTATTTTAAATGAGGACATGAAGTCCAGAAAGGAGAAGTATATAGTCCAAAGTTGTCCTCTGTAGTTTGCACTGGAACTGGGGTGTGGCAGTCCACAAAGCCCATGATCTTTCAGGGGTATCACGTAGCCTTGGGAAAGAGAGAATCATGCTCGGAAAAGGCTGAATTCTTCCAGTGGGCTAAGCAATTGCAGTAGAAAATGACTCCAAAATCTCTATGGCTTAATGCTTAAAAGTTTCTTTTCCTCTCACATTAAGTCGGGGAGGTAAGGGAGGGTTTCTGCCTAGAACACCGTAGACAGAACAGAGAAAGAAAAAGGCTGGAGCGTCCTGCAGGGCTGTCACTGCCTCATCCCAGAGCTCCCACATCCTTTCCTCTCACATCTCATTGGCCAGATGCAGCCACATGGCCCTGCCCCTGCATGGCACAAGGTAGCTGGGCAATGCAGCCTCCAGGATGCCCAGGAAGGAAAGGAGAACAGGGAAGAAGATAATGGCTCCCACAGAGGCTTGACTAAAAAAGACAAGTGACTGAAAAAAAGAGTCCTTTGGAGGAGTAATAGGAGATGATACTGTCTAAAATGTGGGCCAGGGGTGGGGGCGGGACCATTCACTCATTCATCTCACAAGGGCTTGCAGGGCACTCAGACTAGGTTCTGGGAGTCAGGTATACGAGTCGGAGTTGCTGTCCTCAGTGAGCTCATGGTCACTGCACTATAGAAATTATACTACAATTTCATGAACACTATAGGAGCCCAGTGGGGACCTAAGTGAAGGAAGCTGGGTGGGGCAGGGGGATGAGGGGGGCTCAGGGAGGAGGGAATAATGAAACATTCACATGATGGTCGAAAGAGACAAAGATTAAACTATCAGTTGGCTCAGGGCCACAATGCAAGGGACTTACGTGGTCAGTGTCACCATAGTACCCATGAGACATCCACCTCCTTTTAGGGTCCAGGCACAGAACAAGGAACTCTCATAAAGACATCCAAGTCATATCAGGGTACAGCTCAAATAGATAGATTTTTCCGTAAGCCCATAAAAACACACTCAGTCTCCTCTGTGGCAAGAGAAATGCAAATTAAAACTACACTAAGATGGTATTATCATCCATCAGATTGGCAAAAATCTCAAAGTCTGACAGCACACTCTATTGTTGAGGTGTTGAGAGCTGAAGCATTCTCATGCACTGTGAGAGGAAGTGTATGTTGATAAACTCCCTAGCGGTGGGAAGTTTGGCAACATTTGTCAAAATGTAAAGTGCATACACTCTTTGATCTAGAAATTACACTTGTAGGGATTTACTCGACAGATATGTTTACACTTATGAAATGTTATGTGTACAAGATTATTCATTGTGGCGTTAGAAAAAGATTGGGAACAACCCAAATGTTCATAGTTAGGAGACTGCTTAAGATTCTAGTTTATTTAATATTAAGTAATATAATATAGGTGTACAAAAGAATAAAGAATCTTATTATGTACTGATACAGAAAGCGCTCCAAGATATGAGCTAAGTGAAGATAGCAAAGTACAGTCTAGCATGTAAAAAAGTTACCTTTAGTGTAAGAAAGGAGAACAACGGGAATCTATATTCACTGATTATGTATTCATAAGAGTGCTTAAATATAATTGCCAGGATAAGCTTGGTTATGCTGCAGTAACAAATGACTTAAAAATCTCAGTGGCTTACATCACAACTTTCTTTTTTCATTGTTCACATTGCATGTGCACTGTAACTGGGCTGCAGCTGATGCATAGCACACTCCCTGTGAGACCCAGGCTGATAGACCAGGCCCTAAGGGAACTTTGCAGGTTTCATGGCAGAGAGAAAGCAACATGGCGAACCATGAACTGGCTGTTAAAACTTCCACGTGGTTGTCAAGCAACCAATACTTCTGCCCACATTTTGTTGGCCAAGCAAGTCAATGACCACTACTGAGTGCAGCAGGGCAAAAATGTATATATCCTGCAGGGAAGGGTACCATAAGTCACATGATCAAGACTGTTGACTATAGGACAGGCATTTAAAAGCCTCTCATTGGGAAGAGAAGCAACTAATTATGACAATAATGCAATTTGTCACTAAGAAATTAATATAATAGTGACTACCTGTGGGATGGGTTTGGAGAAACTGGGTGGATAGAAAATAGGAATAAGATGGACACTTTCGGGCCAGCCGAGTGGCTCAGTTTGTTTAAGAGTTGGCTTAAGAGCATGAGCTCTGAGCAACAGGGCCTCCGGTTCGATTCCCACATGGGCCAGTGACGCTGCGCCCAAGCTGAGCTGCCGCTGAGCTGCCAACAGGTGGCAGGGTGGTTCAGCTGGTGAGAGCACGTGCTCCTAACAACAAGACTGCCTGTTCGATGGTGGGCTACGCCCACCCGCAAATAAGACTGAACTAAGACTGCACTCGGCACCTTGAGCTAAGCTGCCGCCCGGATGGCTCAGTGGATAGAGCATCTGGTTCGACTCCCGCATGGGATGGTGGGTATGTCCACCCGCAACTAAGATTGTAACACAGCACCTTGAGCTTAGAGGCCACAAGCTGCCGATGGGCAGCCAGATGGCGACTGGCACCCTCCACAACTAAGATTGAAGAACAACAACTTGGTCCAATTCCCCAGCATTTTTCCCCTCCCCCATTTTCCCAGTTTAAAAAAAAAAAAAGATGGACACTTTCACTTAGCATATATACCGGGGGTGCCAAAAAATTGTATGCAAGTGGACACTTTGGTCAACGCTGCTCAAGCAGTAGTTCATCATAATCAGAAGTGCCTGGATGCTGATGGTAACCACTTTGAGCACCTCTTGTAACTCCAGAAGTCAAAAGATGACTTGTATTCATCTTTTGTTATTGGTATATATTGAGTATTACAATTGTAACAGTTTTCCTTTCTTATAATGTGTATACATTTTTTTGGCACTGTGTGTGTGTGTGTGTGTGTGTGTGTGTGTGTATGATGGGTTTATTAGCTATTCAAAAAAATAAATAAGGGCCAGCCAAGTGGCACGTTGGTTAAGAGCTGGCTTGGGACGCCAGAGGACCCCGGTTCGGATCCCACATATGAGGGCCAGTGACACTGCCCTCTACAGCTAAGATGCTGAACAACAGCTCAACCTGGAGCTGGGCTTTCATGAGTCACCGGCGACGGCATAGGCTGCAGCCTGTGGTAGTGGGTTGCCATGGGCTACCGTGGGTAGCCAGCAGCCAGCGTGAGCGGCCAGCAGTCGCAGTGAGCAGCCATCCAGAAGCCAGCAACTGATCTGTCTCACCCAGGAAGAGCGCAATGACGGTGCCAACTTGGGCCAGTGAAGCGATGTCCTCCACAGCTAGACTGAAGAACAAAATGACAACTTATCTGTTCCCCTTCCCCCAATTCCCCAGCACTGTTCCCATCCCCCCAATTCCCCAATTAAAAAAAAATCTTTAAAAACTAAAATAAATAAATAATCGTTGACAGATAGGTACATAAAAATATAGCCATGTCCCTCTTTCCTATGACATGAGCATTGGATACATAACCTGAACCCATAGATATGTTCCTGACATCTTCTTAATAGCAGTTCCTCATAAATCTTGCTCAGACATGTGTCAAGATCAGTAACTCACACCAGTACAAGAACTGTTCTCCATGTTCCATTCAAAGAAGAACAACTGGTGGGGGGGGTACAGGGAGAAGCAGGAGTCTGTATCTAGTTTATCTAGTTAGAGGACCCAAGTGACTCAGGCAGGAGCATTGTAGTTAGTCCCTGGCCTCACCAAGTGTGGGATACCAGGAACTCAGAATGAAATGAATAGAAACAAACCCAGGGAATTTGGTAGGCATGTAAACAGCAAGTGAGCAAAACTCATGGGAAACCAGAGTTTAGCACCAGGATAGCAAGACCAAGAATCAGATCTAAGAGAAAAGGAAAGCCATTAACTAAAAAATGAGCTTTGAGGTTAGAAGCTAAGAAGATGGGGCACAGGTCAGGAAGTGGAGTGGAGGGGGAAATGAGGAGAAGTTCAAGGTCAAAGACAAGAACAGTGAAAGGAATCAAAGCTCCAAGTTATTGGGCTGTGGGGCTGAGGGGCAGACAGTCCAAGGGCTGCAAGTTTCTGGTCAAGACCCCATAGTAGCACAGAGCATGGGCCACTCCCACGGGGGGCTGGGCTGCAGGAGCACTGTGACTGGAATTTCAGAATTCCATCCTGTGGCTCAGGCCGATATTACTGGGGGTTTATCATCCCCAGGGACCTTACAGGGGAGGGTCCTGAAGCCCATCAGTGGCAGCAGGAATTGCCTGAGGGGTTAAAGCAGTCACCTGCGCGCACAGCTGCCACACTGGCAGGTGCTTTGGAGGTGCCTGTGCTGGCCTCCGTGGCCTTTTCATGGAGATGGCAGGTCTCCATGGGACCGTGTACTTCGTTGGCCATTCTCTAGCATGATACCCACTTCTGTCTTCCAGTATCACTTCAACCCCTCACAGTCCACGCTGGTGATGGAAGGTGACGACATTGGGAACATCGACCGTGCCCTCCAAAAGGTCTCCTACATCAACTCCAGGCAGTTCCCGACCGCGGGTGTGCGGCGCCTCAAAGTCTCTTCCAAAGTCCAGTGAGTGGACGCCCATCTGCCTGGGCCCAGCTGGCGAGGGAGGGGCGTCCCTGGGGAACGTTTCTTTGCAAAACAGGATTCACCTCTCTTTAACTGTTCCCAGTTTCTCTGCTATCCCTATGAGGACGCCTCCATAAATCTTTAGTCTCCTTTTGTTTTCTTCTTAAACAAAATGTTCTCTTGTTTTAGCAACCCAAATCTAACTTTCTCTGTTTTATTCTGTAACTGATCTAATGCCCAGAAAGCACAGTTGCCTGTAAATTCTCAGAGAGCTGGGTTTTAAATGGTGTGATTGAAGGGTACAGGGCTTGGTACATAGTAGGTGCTTGACAAATGTTTGTTAATTGAATTAACCAACCCAGCTTTGTAGAGCTCCTAAATACCACAAGTACACAAGAGAAAGAGAAGGCACAGTTCTCGCTCCCAGGGAGCAGAGTTTAATTAAGGAGGTAAGACCATTGTGGAAGCCTGTGGATAACTCCCTTACTGGCCTATCAAATCATTTCTCAGCCACAGGCAGCTAGGAAGGGGACTCCAGAAAAACTCCTGGGAGGTGGAAGGTGACTTACCTGTAGCCGAGAGGACCCAGAAAGACAGGAACAAGGGTGGGCAAGATGGCTCTGTTGACAGGCATGCTGCTAGCGCCTGACAAGGCCATGATAAAGGCCACAGGTGGGGGCCGGCCAAGTGGCTCAGTTGGTGAAGAGCTTGCTCAAGAGTGCAAGCTCTGAGCAACAGGATCGCCAGTTCAATTCTCACATGGGCCAGTGACACTGTGCCACCTGCTGAGCTGCCACTGAGCTGCCAGCAGGTGGCAGGAAGGCTCAGCTGGTGAGAGCACGTGCTCCTAACAAGGTTGCCTGTTCGAGATGGTGGGCTACGCCACCCGCAACTAAGACTGGACTCATCACCTTGAGCTGAGCTGCCGCCCAGATGACTCAGTGCATAGAGCGTGCACTCTTAACAACAAGGTTGCTGGTTCAAGTCCCACATGGGATGGTGGCTACGACCACCCGCAACTAATTGAACACAGCACCTTGAGCTGAGCAGCGTGACTGGTGCAACTGGACTTGGAGCTGAGCTCGCTGTGCCCTCCACAGCTAAGTTTGAAGGACAACAACTTGGCTGTTCCCCCTCCCCAATTCCCCAACACTGGGCCCAGGCTTCCATAAACTGGCTAGGGGAGGGGTGTCCTCTATAAAATGGGAAGGGCTGGTGTGGCAACAGCCAGAGAAAACTGGGAGCGGGAGCCCACCACCACTCCCACACCTCATCCACCTGGAGAGGAGGATGGATTGGCTCAGCATGGGATCCACCCAGCCTACACTTCCCTCAGGAACTCTCCCAAGGGATGCAGGATGTTGGCTGCCACCGGCTGGAGCCCACCAGCATTCCCAGGGCATCCATCTGGACCCTGCGGTTCTCCACGGTAGCCTTGGCCTTGGCCTAGATGACCAGCAGAGAGTGCCAATGACACAGATGACCCACGGGGTCTGATGAAAATGTCGTATCGGTCAACATTTCCTGAGCTCCAACCATGATGCAGGCTCTGGGTTGGCTTCTTTTCTATACGTTGTCGCATTTGAGCCCTACGTTATTGTCATTTCCATTCTATAGATGAAGACACTGAGGTTTGCAGGGGTCAAGCACCTTGTCCAGAGTCACCCTGCCCAGGAGTGGCAGAGCCAGGCCAAGGGCACTTGCCTATCTAATTTCCCAGGATTTGCTCTTGTTGTCACATCATTCTACCTACCAGATAGATATTTCTGTGGCAGTGTATCAGAAAAAAGAGCTTGATGACCTCAGCACGCTGCCAGCACACCTGGAACAGGTGTGCTGGTGTGATACCCTCATAGAGAGATAACACATGGGCCGAGGCAGGGGAATATAGCCCTGGGGTCTCAGTAAGACGGCTGTAACCAACCAGTTAGACAACAATTTGCTTACCAAACCCTAACGCACAAAACAAGCAGTTGCTATCTAATTAACGTTGCCATTGATTACTTTGTTAAAGGATAATTAAAGGTTTAATGGTTACTTGTTGCTGGCATAGAAATTTCCCATTTCTCCCAGGAGCCAATCTTTTTAAGTCCCTAGATTGCTAGTCTTTTGGACTATAATGTGTCTTTAAACTTAAGTGTCTGCTGACATCCTGGGGGGCTCTTTGGTAATCAGGGTGCCTCATCAAACACTACAGGTGGCTGTATGTGTCCCTGTCCCATGGCCGCATGATGGATGGCGTCATCGTGTCTCCGCAGGTGCTTTGGAGAAGATGTGTGTATCAGTATCCCGGACATGGACGCCTACGTGATGGTGCTGCAGGCCATTGAGCCGCAGATCACCCTACGTGGCACCGACCGCTTCTGGAGACCCGCGGCCCAGTTCGAAAGTGCTCGCGGAGTGATCCTCTTCCCCGACATCAAGATCGTGAGCACCTTCGCCAAAGCTGAGGCCCCAGGTGACTTGAGGACCACAGGTACAGGTGCCTCCTGGGTTGCGGACAGTGGGCCTTGCGTTCACATAGCCACGTCAGATCATACTTCAGGATAACAGTATTGTTCCCCATTGCAAAGGGTTTCCAGTAGAAATGCAAACACACCTGGGAACAACACGGGTAAATAATGGGAGGGGAAAGAAAGGCTCAGCAAATCATGGCACCCCCACATAAGGGGTTGGAGGAAAGGCATTTGTGCTAAATGGTAGGTGACAAAAAGCAAGATGCAAACTATAGAGTATCTACACATAGGCTGATCTCAACCATGTAAAAAGAAACAGGTACATAGAGAAATGCCAAGAAGAAAACACGCCTAATATTAACAGTGGCATTCTCTGAGAAGCGTAAGAGCCCATTTGTTTCTGCTCCCTTTCACTTTTTGGCAACTGCAAAATGTTCTTTAGTGAGTGTTATTATTTTGATAATCAGGAGGCAAGCTAAAGAAACACACACAAAAAGCATAACTGCATCCTAATATATACACAGTAAAAGTCCTGTTCAACAATATTACTCTAAGCTCTCAGGGACCCTTCTAGTTGTTCTTTCCAACGTTTCATTATTGGGAGGGCTGTTCAGTGAAAGCAGAGTCATTTGAATTATCTGCCAGGGAGAAACACTTAGCTACATGGAAAGCTACAGTGTATCCTGCTGGCTTGAGGAGGGGCAGGGGGTGGGAAGCAGGAAAAAGTCGAAAGCGAGGGAAGGAGGGAGGGAGGAAAACCTGGGTCCCAGATCTACAGGGGAAATACCCGTTTGAGAACAGTTTTGCTGTCTCCTCCATAAGAACCCTTTCAACTCCCCCTCTCCCTCTCCAGCAGCGGCTGCTAATGATGTGCTAGCACCAGTGGGCCTGAGTCCCCAAAGGGCTGCTTCCATAATGATCCTAATTACCCATTGCCTTAAACCACCCTGGTTCCTAGTGCATGGGGGCACCACCAAGCAGCCCTTCTTAGCTCACAACATAGATGCTGTTTTTCCACCTGTCTGGGCAGGGCAGTTTCCTAGTCACACTCCAAGGGGCAGTAGGCCGTGTGACCCTCCCTGTCCCCTTCATCTGTGGCTGAAATCAGACTGGAGAAGGAAGGACCTCTGACCTCAGTGGCTGCAGGCGTAGCTGAGAGCCACTGGACTTGTTAGGCCCGATACCAGCACACAGGCAATGCCGGCAAAAGCAATTATCTGGGTCCCTGTCTTACCTTCTGTTTATGAGAGTTGCACGCAGAGCGCAGGGGCAAGTGTCAGAGACCCTTTATTAGGACTTTTAAAATTCTACTCTTCTTGCTGTTAGAATAATCATTATAATGGATGCCTTAAACAAGCAGGCGAATGGCATTTGTCTCCAGGACTCAGTAACCCGCTCCAGCACCGTCACCTGTCCCCATTGACCCACCGTTTGTACTGTTTCGGTACAAAGGACGGGAGAATCCCCCCATGCATCACTCTCTCTCACACACACTTCTGTATTATATAGTTCTCGTCTTTGCTCTTGCTCTCCCCTCTGCCTGGAAGGTTCCTCTCACTCCCCAGCCCCATGATTGCTGGCAAACATCTCTACCTTCAGTGCCTCTTCCAAGAGGCTTTCTCTACCACCACCCTGACTCCTAGACTGGGTTACGTCGCCTGCTCTCTACACCGCAAGCCACGAGTGCTGCCCCCCAACACACAACTTTTGCTAGCCCTAAGTGGTGCGTATCTGTTTACTAAACCAGACCAGAAGTTCCAGAAGTTTCATAAGGCTGATCATCTCTAAGTCCCTGAGCCCAGCAAAATCCCTTCCACACAGTGAGAATCAAGGAAACTGCCCATGGAAGATACTACCCATAATGCAAACGCAAAGGAATAATGGGAAAATGGCAGCAATCACATGCCCCCTACCGAGCAGGACCACATTGGGAGACAGGAGGAAGGAAGACCTAACCTGACCTGATGAGAAGCTGGCCAAACACCCCCGCCCCCAGAAACCATAAAAAGATCAGTTGAAATAGAGATACACTATTATTGATAGACCTCATCTTAAGTATATGGGCTTTTAGATTTTTTTCAATGACACATGAAGCCATTGAGATTGGCAAGCATTTAAAAGTTAAGCATAGAAAATTATTTATAACATATACCTGGTGAGAACAAAAAATATTTAGGGTATCACTAAAAATTAAAATATAAAATAATTCTCTCATCTTTAGTGAATCCTTTTTAATTTCTGTTTTTGTAAATGTTTTCTAATGCACAAAATGTTAGTCTTCTTTATAAATAAATAAATACACTTATTTAAATAAACTTGGTTCACAAATTTTCCAATAAAAGGCTGTAAGATCAAAAGCATTTAAAGACTACTGGACGGGAGGTTAAGATTTTACATACTGCAGAATCAGAAGGTATTTTCTGTCCCAGGTCCTCCCCCACGCCTACGTAATCCTGGGCAACCCACTCCACCCCTCAGGCCCTCCATGTCCGCGCCAGTGAAATGGGATGATAACAGTACCCCCTCTAATGTCTGTTATAATTTTGTTTGCACAGTACCTAGTACATAGCAATGACTCCTAAATGCCAGTCACTTTATTTTAAGGTGATTGTCTACCTGTCCAGCATTCAAATACTCAGACATCCTTTGGGGAAATTTAGGGCCCAAAACATCAGGCAAGGACACCTAGACTGACCAACAGCCTGTCAATTAGACTAACCAATTTACTTATTTAATTATTTTAAATAATTATTTAATTATATTAACAATGCAGCTCCATTTGAGCAATATGTAGTAATACTGCTCCATGCCAGCATCTGGGTTAGATACTGAGGGCTCTGTCACAAAAAGACAATACTTCTGCTCATGAGGACCTCAGAATCATAGAGAAAGCTACAAAAGCATGGGGGGGGGCATTTATCTCTGGCATCAAATGAGAGCTGTTGCCTGTTGAGCACCTACTATGTGCCAAACACCATTTTAAACCCTCTCAAGACCATTGCCCTTTTTACAGATGATGAAATTGAGGGGTAGGTAGTTTCTTGAACACTACACAGCCTCTCAGTAGCTGCACTTGGGTTCAGATTCACACCTTTTGACTACTGTGTTCATACTCTTCACACGAATTCCTGGTACCCCACCTCAGGGGCTGCCTGGACACCCATCCAGCAGTGGCGGTACTTAGGATCACAGAACGTTTCTCCTGACCCAGCCTTGACCTGTTGCAATCACGAGGAGGAAGATGACGTGAGAGGGCCGTTGTCTGGGCAGTCCTCATGCCTCTTACCCATGTGCCTGTCTTCCCACAGCCCCCAAATCAGCTGTCTTAGAAGAGATGCTTCACAACTTAGATTTCTGTGACATTTTGGTGCTGGGAGGGGACTTGGACCCAAGACAGGAGTGCTTGGAGCTTAACCACAGCGAGCTGCACCAGCGACACCTGGACGCCACCAACTCCACTGCAGGCTACTCCATCTATGGTAAGGCCACGCTCAGCCACTTCACCCGATGGTCTCCTCACAGAGTGGCCTTATCCAGGGGGTCACAAGTGTGATGGTGCTTTGTCACCTGTGGAGGTGGGTCAGGTGGGGGCCTTTGACCTCAGAGCATAGACTTTTAGCCCCTCCTCCTTTGGTGAAGTTCTCCAGCACCTTGGAGGACCTGGACCACATCCCCACTCCTGGAGACATCTCCTGTAGAAACTAGGCAGATGCCTTCCCTTATGTTTGATCTCAGCAAATATTACAGCAACATTTGGCAGATTGAGGCCAAACATTCCTGTCAGAGCCCAATGTATGTGGAAATCCTGTGGATCAGTTTAATTGGCTCTTTAGAACCCCTGCTTCAGCATATTGTCTGCCCCTAAATATCTCAAGCACTCATTCTAGCCGAATTCAGGAGACCCACAGGCCTCAGCAGCTGCAGCCTGTCTCCCCCATCTCCTCTTCTGCCTTCTCATGACAGGTGTGCTCTCTTGGCACAGGTGTGGGCTCCATGAGCCGTTATGAGCAGGTACTGCGTCACATCCGCTACCGCAACTGGCATCCGGCTTCCCTTGAGGCCCGGCGGTTCAGGATTAAGTGCTCAGAACTTAATGGGCGCTACACCAGCAATGAGTTCAACCTGGAGGTAAGTGAGTGCTGCAGTTGTAAAGGGAACTCAGGTTCATCCTTATTTATTCAGGGGGGACTGCTGTCCATGGCCCACCTGCCACTCCTGGCCAATAGCACCCCTCCCTGCTCTTCGCAGGTCAGCGTTCTTCATGAGTTCAGAGTTTCAGACAAGGAGCATGTCAACCACCTTATCATGCAGCCTCCTTTCCTCCAGTCAGTCCACCACCCTGAGTCCCGGAGTAGCTTCCAGCACAGTTCAGGTAAGTCACCTGGCACCAGGTGATCATTGTGACTCAAGACCACCCACTAAACAGACAGTTAGGGTGCAGCAGCCATAGGTGCCCAGAACCAAGGGAGGGACCCAACCATGGAGAAGTGTGGGCCCTGGCCCTGAGACTCTCACAGCCTCAGTGGGGAGCTAGTCAAATAAACAAGAAGTTACAGATGATAGATAATAGCAGAGATTAGTACAAAAGGCTGGGGTAAAATTTTGCAAATCCTTTTTGGCCCAACTCAAAACCACATCCTGTATGAAGCTTTCCCTGAAGCCCTCACATCTGCTCACATACACACACGTGTGCACTATATTGCAATGTCCCCTGTCCATATTTCTGTTCCAGCACTTGCCATATTGAATTACTGTCTGCTGGGCGCTGTGTCTGTCCCCACTAAACTCCACAGTGCCTGGCTCTCAGTGGGATCTTTCCTATGATTTGAGGGGAAAAGCAAGAGCTAGAAAAGAATTTGCATTTATTGAGTACCTACTACGTGCCTGGGTAGAAACTCACATAGATTATTTCATTTGCTCCTCACAATGACCCATGGGATAGGAATTATTAAGTGTGTCGTATAGATGATGAACGTGAAGCCCAGACAGAGTCCTACAGCTGAGAAATGGTAGGGCAGATTCTAACCTATACGTGGATGTTTCGTTCATGCTCCATCCCAAGAGTGAGCTAGTTCACCATGTCATGCGGATTCCTTCCTCGTTCTAGTGGTCCCAAGCATCGCCACAGTGGTCATCATCATCTCCGTGTGCATGCTAGTGTTTGTCGTGGCCATGGGCGTGTACCGGGTCCGGATCGCCCATCAGCACTTCACCCAGGAGACTGAGGCTGCCAAGGAGGCCGAGATGGATTGGGACGACTCTGCGCTCACCATCACAGTCAACCCCATGGAGGTGATCCTCACGCAGGGGCTGGGGATTTAGGGCGAGCTGCCTCCCCTCCACCCAGTTCCATCATTTCTATGCCAGAAGCCCTGCCCCAACTAGCCCATCCCCACTTAATCCCTCGCTACTCGGAGCTCCTCCAGCCCTCTCAACCCAAGAGGACTATAACTTTCACTGATTAAAAATGTGTGAATCGCTCTAACCATGCAAACAGAATCAGACGTTTCTTAAGGCAAGCAGCCATGTGGTGTCTACCCCTTGCCACTCCCATCATATTTAGCTCAGAGCTAACACTTAAGGACTCAGCATTGAATTTTTGATTAATTAACAGTGTAAATTAGATGACTTTGCTCCATACTGCCTGCAGGGCTCACTTAAAGATTCAGAAGAGGTTAAAATGAAAATACAATAATGATAGCTGCCATTTATTGAGTGCCCCATTATGCCAGGCAGTGCACAGGCTGCTCTATATACACCACCTTATTGAATCTCCCAGCGATCTGTGCAGTAGGAGCCATCGTCCTCATCTACCAAGGTGGGAAGCAACGCAGGGAGGAAAGTAACGTGCTCAGACTCACAGAGCTGGCAATGGCGGTGCCAACATTCAAACTCCAGATTGCCTGATGCTAAAATTCAGATCTTCCCAGTTGGCTAGCAGCCCCCAGAACCCATCCATGAGTGTGCAGGTCTCCTGCTCTGGGCATATGAATGCAAGAGCAGCCACTGGCATTGTGCCCTTTGGTCTGCCCGTGGGTACTGGGTGGATTTTGAACCAAGAGTAGTAAAGCAGGGCAAGATCAGGCAGAATCATTGAGAAATGAAAAGATTATCCCAGCCTCATCCCGTTTCCCCCTTAGCCGGTCTCTCGCTCGGATTTCAAAGCCAGCGTGCTGGTGTGCTTAGCACGTGCAGCGGGTGTAGCGCTGAGCACAGCACCGTGGGGACTCAGAGTCTTCACTTCTGACGAGCTGAGCCTTGAGCGTGGCAAACGAGCACCAATCCTGGAGCAGCCTGAGCACTGGGCAAGAGTGTGCCTCCCAAGGGCCAACAGGGTGATGCCAACACTCAGTCAGACATGAGCAGGGAGCGCTATTGGGGTTGGAGGGTTCAGGAAAGGCTTCTTGGAGGAGGTTAGCTTATGGGGGGCCTTGAAGAATGGGTAGGATTTAATGGATGTAAAGGTAAAAGAGAAGCTACTCCAGAGAGGCGACATGGCCGAGCAAGGGCACACATCTTTGATGTCTAGTTCCTCAACTCAAAACATAAACCCAGAAATAAGAATTGACTGGAATTGTCAAAAACAGGGGGCAAGGAGGGAAGCAGAGGCAGGACTAGAAAATAGCGAGGTAGAGTTTGAGGACACAAGTCAGAACGTGAGGGGCAGGCATGAAAACTGAGAACCATGAACTTTGTGCTTCCTAGAGGAATATTTTGGGGGGACAGCACACCGGAGTCTTGGCTTAGAAGACCTTCTGCTCCCTGAGACACTAGATTCCCATCTGGAAAGGAGCACACGCTTCAATGCCATTCTCTCACTGAGAAGCAAACACTGAGATTTGGACAGCTTGTATTGACAGCCTCCAGCAATGCCAGGAAACAAACCTGGGCCTGAAAGACTCACTAAGTCATGTGTGGGATTGGCCTCAGTGTCCAGTGTCTAAAACGCACGTCTTCCCTTGAGTTCATGTCTTGGAATTTGCTGCCCTTTCTTGTCTTTGTCCTCCGTCATCTGGTTTGCCGTTCGCCAGGGGACCTGCCTTTCAGGCCCAAGGGTTTAGCATGAAAGGGAAGGTGCTCCAAGGGACCCCAAATGCTTGCTCAGTGGAGGGAGAAATATAGGCTCCAAAGCAGCCTCTGCTCAGCCCCTGACGAGCATTCCCCTTCTGTCCCTGACATCCAGAAACATGAAACGCCAGGGCGTGGGGAGGACGAGACCGAGGAAGAGGAGGAGGAAGAGGAAGTAGAGGAAGACCTCAGCTCCGGCAGCAGCGACTCAGACGACAGCGACGAGGAGGAGGTGGAGGAAGGGGTGGGCAGGGGCAGACACGGGCAGAGTGGAGCCAGGCAAGCCCAGCTGGAGTGGGACGACTCCACCCTCCCCTACTAGCGCCCAGCTGTCTGGGCCCCCCATCTTCCCTTTTGTAAGCCCCACCTGATGTATGCCGAGCCTGTCACCGTCACCTCTGATTTCTATGACAGCCTGGGCAGGCCTGCCCCAGCCTCCTGGAACCTGCCTACACAGCTTGGGCGCTCCTGGTGTCCCAGCCCTGGGGTGGTTCCAACAAGCCCAGTGTCATCCTCAATGGGGACTTCAGGGTGGACCTTGTCCTGCAACCCCCACTGTTCCTACCCTGGGCCCCCCAGCATTCTGTCAGCCAATCTGCAGAGTTCTGCTTTTGCTCTTCTCTACAGGGGAGAAGGGCAGCCTCTATGTCACTCACCTCCCCCAGGCTCCGTGTTCCCCAGGCCCTTGGTCTGCAACTCACTGTGTGTCCCTGACTCGGTCATCTCTCCACACACACCAGCAGGTTCTCCTTACCTGACACTCCAGGTGGTTTCGTTCATGCAGAGTGGTCAGGTTTTACGTACCTGAGGTCTTGGTCCTTAACACTTCCAAGAAAAGTCTTTGTCAAAGCAGAATGAAGTTCATAGGAAGAGGTTCACACACACACATACACACACACTCTCCCCAGTTTGGAAAGCCTTTCCTTTTGAACTTTCTGAGCCATATAAACTTATATGAAAAGTCTAAAATCTTGGCCACAGCTGGACCTGGTCACCAACCAAAGCTATCTCAGTCGGCCTGCCTGGGCAGCTGCTGAGACCCCCATGGCTGCCCTGCTGGGGGCTCTCAGCCCATGAACCCATAGGATCCAGGAAGCATTCCACACAGGTACTGCCCCCAGGTGACGGCTATGACAAGCCTGCAGCCAGGGATCAGAAGGAAGGGCTGATGAGGTGACATCACTGGGCTTCATGGTGGGCTCAGATCTGGGAGACATGGAGTGGCTGGGTTCTCCCAGGCCAGAGGGCGGCCCGAAGTTGACAAGGCTCTCACCACTTAGGCTTATGGTCCCTCAGCCCCCATTTCAGACTGGTTTGCCTCTTAAGAAAATACATTCTTCTTGGGTGTACTAGAACAAATGTGAACTGCATCGAGTCTAAAATGAAAGTTTGGAAATGTAACTGCTAGGAATTAGAAGCATCTTTGTGATAATAACAGCTGCTGCTTCTTCTCATAAAAAGAGCAATGCGTTGGGTGGAGGGCTAACTAAAAACTTTATTTATTTATTTATTTATTTATTTATTTATTTATTTCTTCTTTTTTTAATAAGGAAATCTTTTCCATCTCCTTCCTAACATGGACACCTCATGAGGCGAATTGTTGCTATAGTAACTGGTCTGTGATCTTTTGGGGCCAAGAGAATAGCAGGCAAGAAATAGGGCCATTAGAAGACTTCCACGAGGCTCGAATGTCTTGGGCTTTGTCCTCAGTATGTGTGATCTGTCCCTGGCCTCCCAGCCTTCCCCAGCCCCGCCCATATTGGCTTGGCACAGGCACAGAGCTGGTCCCTAGTCACAGTGGCATTCAGGTTCAAAAGCAAGTTCGGAATCTGTTCGTTCTCCTCCCTATGTCATCAGAACAGTGCTTATGAAGGGGAACCGCTGTCAATGTCCTCTTGTCTGACCTTCACCCAGTGAGGACCCATGATAGGCCTTTGCAACCTTCTGATTCCAGAAAACTACCTTATGCAGCTTTTTCCATCTCCTAAAGTGGTTTTTGCATCTGTTCCCTCCTTTGATCCTCACAGTAATTCTGTGAGGTAGTTGGGACATCTGTTGTCAGGCACATTTTCATTATGAGTAAAGTGAGGTTCAGAGAGTCAAGCGTCTTGCTCAGAGTCATTCAGAGATATACAAGACTAGACTCCCCCCTTTTCACTCCTGGTCTGATGCCCACCACCCTGATTCCACTTGTGTTAATATTTACAGAGCTAACAGGCATTGCTGAGGACCTACTATGTGCTGTACAGTCGACCAACGGCTGTGAGAAAAGGATAAAGCTGAATAAAATGAGCTCCTTGCCTCAGAGGATGAGATGATGGCAGAGGAGAAAAAGGGGGCATAGAAATTATACAAGAGACAATGGAGAGGGAGGGAGAGGAGTCCCAGGAAGAAGGGGGCACATTCACACACTCCGCCAGGGCTCTCATTTTCCCTTCTTAGGGAAAAACGCAGGCAGAAGTTTGGGGTTTTATATTCCTTGAATGGAAATAGACACTTCTGTGAATTCTCCCAACCAAATAGCCTTTTATCATCAGGCTGTGTCTGCACATCTACCAGGAGAAAATCTGTGGGACTGCATTGTCCTCACAGTCCCCTTAGTTAAATAAAAGGAGATTCTAGGAGCTCGCCGAATTCTCCCAAAATTGTGGCAGTAAAATGAATACTTTATACGTTTAAAACCAATTCTTTCTGAATTGGACTTTGATTTAAACTATGTAAGTCCAGCGTTCAGGAGAGCACTTTTCTCAGCTCAGCCTTTCAGTTTGGTGGGGGTGGGGAAGGTGTTTTGCCCTCTGGCTATCTCAGATCGCCACATCACTTATTCATGGTTGAGCAGCTGTTTGGGGAGTGTAAAATCTTTCTGTGTTTTGGGGGCTTGGCAGGGAGGGAGCAGGTGAAAGTGGCACTTGGCTGGGGCAGTAGAGTCGCGGACCAGACTCATAGAGAAACAACAAGGTCACATCAGAGCCATTTCCATCAACTCCTGCTGTGGGAGGTCACACTCGGCATGCCAGTTCAGAGAGGAGGCACTTGAAACAGTGTTGCTTTGTAGAAGGGCATTTGTCATGTTCCCAACACCCTGCTCATCACCATGGTGAGGACAGAAGGGGGCGGGGGGAGTATGTAAAAGTAGCAGAAGCATCAGGGGTGATCCAGGTGAACTGTGAGTAATGTCACTTGCCCTCCACCCAATATTCTAACCACAAGTGGAAAATGTCATTAATCAGCCTAGCATTTTCCAGGCTCCATATGTTGGCATCTGGGAACCAGGACTCCCAGATGACCCCAACATGCAGTGGCCTCTCATCCAGTCGTCAGCAGCAGCAGATGCAGATTTGAACCCGGGAAGAACAGCTGACGGGTTTGGCCAGAGGCCAGACCACTGCTTATCTCGCCAAGTGCATGAACAGATTCTGCTCTCTGGAGTTTGAGACTGACACCTCTCAAGTGAGTCAGGTGACAGGGAGGAGGAGACAGAAAGGTCCAGCACAGAATGAGTTACCCCAGTGGAGTAAAGCAATCAACGAGTGGCCACCTGCCTTAAAGAATGCTAAAAGTATATTCTAGTAGGTTTAATCAAATGCTATACACCTGACCAAGGCCCAATCACAAAATGTGATTTCAGTGGGATCTCTTTTCCCGACCACTTTCTTGAACGTATTCAATCATCCTGTGGAGCAGAGCTGAGACCACACACCTGTGCATGTAGCAAGGGCTATACCTTGTAGACACGGGACCCTCAGGGGGAAGGGCTCCTGGTGCGAAGCAACGTTCTTCATTTCTGTACATCCAGCAGGGCTTGGCAAGCTTTATTATAAAGAGCCAGGTAGTAAATGTTTGGGGCTTTGCAAGTCATATGGTCTCTGTTGCAAATATTCAACTCTGCCCTTGTAGCATGAAACCAATCACAGACAATACTTAAACAAATGAATATGGCTATGTTCAAAAAAAAAAACAACACCTTTATTTATGAACACTAAAAAAATCAGGCCAGTTGAATTCATATTATTTTCACATGTCATGAAATTTTATTGCTCTTTTGATTTTTATTTCCAACCATATAAAAATGGAAAAAACTGCCTGGTCCCATGGGTCATACAAAAACCAGCAGCCAGCCAGATTTGGCTCCCGGGCTGCAGTTGGCACACCCCTACCCTATGTGCATGGAAAGCAGCCTTCTATCTCCCGAAGGAAAGCAAATTGCTCTCTTAGACCCTCCCTTAAACTACCCAGTGGTCTTTGCCTCTAAAATGAACAACTAACAACACCACAGTCTTTAATTAAGCTGTTTTAAAAGTCCGTGTTCCAGGGGAAAATAAAAACAAAAACCACTTGTTACTTGTTGAATTGACTCAGATGCAGGCAAGCATCTATTAAGAGCTGAAGGCTCTAAGCCCAGGGACTGGCTGACCACTGAGCTCACCCCACTGAGCTGAGGGCGAACTCCCAGGCACCAGGCCTTCTCTGCAAGACCCAGCCCATAATGATTTCTAAGTAGGAGTGTTCATTATCTCAGACTGATTTTTCCATTTCAGCCCGGCTCATGCCATCACTCTAAAAATGACCCTAAAGATTTGTGACTGCTACAATCAATAGCAACATAATCAGTAGAAAGCCCAACCCAGCACACTTCAAAATTAGCAGTCTTCTTGGCTTTATGATTCAATATTAATAAGAGGAAGAAAGGAAGACTTTTTCTTCACCATCCCCTCATTTAAATTAACTAAATCGGTTTTACAAAGAAAGTGAGGGAGTGGTTCTAATTCTCTGGAAGAATTTACCAGTGCAAAGTAGGTACTTTTCAGGTAGGCGAATTCTCAGGCCTTTGGAAGATCCCCACAGCCCCCGGCCGCGTGCTCTGGCGGGCTGCTGCGGATGGTACACGATTCTCTGTCTACATCAGACGTTTATCGAGGCTGACAAGCCAAAGCCCTTGGCACAATTTAATTTTCGTGTAACCGCTTTCCGTTGTCCAGCTGTAGACAAAGGAAATGAGCAATGAAAGTTTGGAAGTCTGCTCCAGCACCTTCATTTCCCTGTCTTTATTTGCTTTGCTTTGTAAATTTATTCTGTACCTGCCATATAGATCCTGCTCTAGCTTTCTTGTTGGCACCAGCTGGAGAGGAGAGTGGGCTTTATAAGGGCTATGGATCCAAAGCCAGACTTAACTATCCCAGGGAGACAAAAAGAGACAAAAGAAGTTACCTCCACTGGCACCCCAGAAGTCTAGCAGATTTTGCCTGTATGCCATCGGCGAACAGATGGGGTTCTGTGTTTGCAGCTATGTTCGATGTAATTCAGCAAATCCTTGCTGAGGGCCTGTGGTGTGCAGGGCCCTATGCCAGGAACAGGGGAAGGGAAGATGAGTGAGGCGTGGCCCTGCACATGAGGACCTCCTGGTCTTGCAAACTGTCGGGGTGTTTCCTTTGTAGTGTTGGAGGCTGTCTGTGAATAGTCAGAACTGCTGGGGACAGGAGTTTGGGGTTAGGAGAGGTGGGATAACTTACTTTGGCCGTTCTCCTCCCTGAGTCAGGTGGTAGGACCTGACACATGGCTGAGCCAACCGAGGTGCTCTCGAGGGAAGCAGGCAATGCTTCTCTCTGTGTTTCTTAATTCTACCCCAGCCTGACTCAGTTCACTTGTAGATGAAAGCCTGCCTCCTGGGCCAAAATAACATGGCTGAGATGTAGTGAAACTAGGCCAAAGGAAATTCTTAAGGATGCACGAACGGCAGGCGGCCAGACCTCGAAGTTCCGAAGGGCAACCCAGATAAAGGGCCAGCATGAGCCCAGACCCAAAGACATGAGACAGCCTGATGTGAGGGAGCACCCCTGAGGCCCCAAGTCAAAGCTGAAGGAGGGGAAAGGGCCTAACTTCTGAGGGTTCACACTTGACTCTGCAGTAGACGTTCTCAAGGTGCATCCCTGGACCACAGCATCAGCACCACCTGAAAATGAATGAGACATGCAGACTCTCAGGCCCCACCCATAAACCACTGAATCAGAAACTCCAGGGATGGGGCCCAGCTGGACAGCGGAAAGCGGTTACATCTGTGTTTTAATGAGCCCTCCGATTCTGATGCCCACTAAGGTTTGAGAACCATGGTTGTGGAGGATGAGGAGACTGACTTCAGCTGGCTTTGGGAGGAGATGACTATTAACAAGACAAAATAATCAACTATTCGTGTAGTGAGGAGAGGGGATAAAGCAGACGACCCACCCACCCTCTAGGGCCCTCCAAGCTCCAATCCGTACCCCCAGAGGTTTCAGGGAATCCTGGTCCTGGTCCAGGAGTCACTTCCTGCTGGTCTGTCCCCTTTCATCCTGGAGAGGGACACAGTCCAGGAGAGACTGTAGTGAGGCCACCCATCCCAAGGGAGGTCACCATCCAGGTCCCTCCTCAAGGGCTCTACTTTAGAGGCAAACCATTAATCTGTAGCAATGACCCCGCAGCACCGGGAGAACTGGTCTCCACACAGCCCCTGTGCTGGGGGAGCCACCGGGACCTGGCAGACAGTGGAGTGAGGTCATTTCAGGACACCGCCAGGTTGCTGCACCACTGCGCCGTGTGTGACGGGACCGCGCCATGCAGCGTCCTCATCCAGGCACTAAATTGGATGGGAAATAAATGGCTTTTCTTGGAAGGGCAGTAACTCATTCTGGATGCCACTGAAAGTAGAAAACAAAAACCAAAACCAAACCTGCAGCCCTCCTTGCAGACATTCTGTCTCGGCCCTTGAATTTCTAAGACCTGCCAAGGTGCCAGGCTCCACCCATGCCCTTTTCCCCTTTGACCAGATGCCTGGGGTCCACCAATTGATTTTGGGTTTTTTTTTATTTATGGCTTAAATTGTGAAGCTCCACAAACCTTTGGGAGGACTAGTTGGTGCTCTGTCAGTCATTGACAGCTAACTGTGGTGCAGAATCTGTCCTTGTATAAAAATTTCTGAGGCTGAGAGTCAGAGGACCAGGGTGCTGGGCCTTGGGGTGGAAGAACTAAAAAGAAACAAAGTGGGAAGGAGTCCAGACACGTGGCCTTGGAGAGCGAGCTCCTGCTGTTTAGTTCCTACGAACCGGAATTCCCTCCAGATCAGAGACACATTCCTGGTCTTCTCAGCAGTCTCCTTGCTGAATCCTCCCAAATGCCCTAGCGGACACCTCCATTGCACCAGCCCAGCCTGGAAAAGGTCTTCTGATTAAATGCCCAACCAATCTTTTGAGACCACAGAGATCATATCGAGAGTAACTCACCTCTAACAGATTAGAACATGCTAACAAGAATGAATAGGGCTTGCCAGCCTCTGGCCGGTGAGAGAGCTTGGGAAAGCCAGACCCAAGAGGGGGAGGTGAAATGTTTCTTCATGCCACTGAGACCCAGAAGAGTTTTTTTCTTTACTGCCCGGCCTCTCTTCGTGAATTCTCAAAAGAAACATTTCTTTCCCAAGACTTTAAGCCAATTGTATGTGTTACCCTGAAGTTAGTGATTTATTGCTAAAGCCTCCGAAGGACAAGGAGTGAGATGTCAGGCAGCTGATGGCGAGACCTTTGGTAGTTCTGGAATCAGGGTGAGCTCTGGTCTCGTTGGCAGGCCTGGGCCTGTGTAGTCAGGTAAAACAGGAAGACATTGTGGACTGAGGGTGAGGAGCTCAGACCCAGCCAGGACACCAGGTGGAGTGAGTGAGTAGTGAGAGGGCTTTCATTAGGAAGGCTGGGCACAGGTGAGACCTACATGGTGTGTCCCTGGGCAGACCCTATCAGCCATTTACATTTGTCAGAAATGCAGAGAGAACCATGTCCCGACACCCGCTAATGTGTCCCATTCTAAGGCGCACAGAGGAGCTGGTACCTCTGGGCCACAGAGGTGACATATCTCCAGAGTCAAGGTCCCACTCCATGAGAACTTTCAGCTGAGGGAAATGGAACCATAGTCGCCCTCACTTCCCAGGCTCCCGGTGGGGTGCCTGAGCAGGACCCTGGAACACATGGTGTGTGAGTGCAGTATGGCTCCCCAACTCTCTCCTCCCCTGCTGTCACAGGCCCCTTCCTCAAGGCAAGAGGAGTCACTTCTCTATCACAGCACCCTGGTTGTCTAGCATGGCACTTGGCCCATAGCACATGCTCAGTAAACGCTGAAGGACATGGAAAACCAGAGATCCTTGGACCTCAGTGAATGGACAAGGTTTGAAAAACTAAGATGCTCCAGTGGAAAAAGACTCTTCCACCTTTTCCCTGAGTGTATAAGTTGAGGTCCTTTCTAAAGTCAGATCTAAGAGGAGTGGAAGAGCAGTCGGGGGAGGATAACATTCCTGCTTAACCAATGGGAAAAGAACAGGAGTAGGGTTGTTGGGAGAGTGACCCCTTCCCAGCTATAACCAGTCAAAGGAGTCCCAAGCAAGGAGCCGGGGTGGATGAGCCTTGATGAGCCCACTGGCTCTGCCCAACAGGCCATGGGCAGCGTCCCAACAGATGAGAGAGAGCCCTCATCTGTTCATGACCTCAGCTCTGTGCTCCTCTCCAGTCCTTTTTATCAGATCCACTGCAGAGGAGATTCATCAAGGTGAAGCTCAATTCTCAATAGACTAATGAAAAGAGGGCAACAGACATGCGAAGAGCCAAAATGCAGACAGTGTGTATTAATCACAGGCAACAGAAACATGTCAGGTTTAATGTCTATTTGCTTTTATCTTGAAATGAAAATGCATCTCTGCTGCCCAGACCCTTTTTTCTGAGCATTTCAGAACAGAAATGTGACACACACACACTCGTACAACACACACACACACACACACACACACACACACACACACATAAACGTTGAGGGTTCTTTTCCCCAACAGAAAGAACTACCAGAGAAATGAGCCTACAGGTTATGACTATTTGCAGAAGCAGAGCACCAACCTCAAGTCTCAGCTACAGACACCATTCCCTGTGTGGAGAAGCGGGGAGGAGGGACAAGGAGGCACCTGCCCTTGGGAAGGGTTCAAGAGGATCTGTGTGATGAGGTGCTCTGCTTGTGCCTATGGGTCATGGATGTGAATAGATCATGAACATCCACCCCTGGAGACAGAAGTGCATGCATCCTGGCCAACGTGGAACACCCACCCCCAGCTCTCTTCCACGGCTGCAAAGGAGTCACTGATGTGTGGGATTCAGAAGAGATCGTGCTCATTGTCACTAGTAAATTTCAAGGGGTGGAAATAAGGCAAAAGCTTTTTGGAGGTCAGGGAGTGAGCCTTGATACCCAGGGCTGATCACTCAAAAAGCAAGAAAAGAGAGATGGAGGTGACTCAGAGTTGGAGAGGGAACAGGTGAGGCTAAATAGGAGTGACAGCAACCAGAACACCCCTCACCCAGGAAGCCAGAACGTGGCTTTGTCTTGAAGGCTGCACCCAATATCCAAGTTTCAGGAAACTCTGGGTACATCTGACAGCGTGACCACAGAGGCAGTCAAATCAATTGCTTCCAAAGTCAAAGCTATTAAAAGGTGATTTCAGCTCTTAATTGAACTAGTCGTGATGGCTCAAGCCACCTGATTGCTTTCATCCTGACCTCAGTAGCTTCCAAGAAAGATTATTGGTGCCTAGAGAGATAGGCTTGGGAGGAAACTGAAGAAACCCAGTTGGTGAGTTTAGAAAAGAAAGCACATGTGGAAGTTGGTTGTTGTCAAAGAAACCTGTAGGTATAAAGTTGGGTGTGTTATGTTATCGGCATGGACATGATAATGTCAGTAAGGTAAGATTTGGAATGACTTGGTGGCACATTAGTTTGGAAAATTAATTAATGTATTAAATATAAATTATCAGAGATAAATAGGCTAAGGACAGCTAAATATATGTCATATACATATCTATAATGGAGAAATAAGTAAGATAGAGATTGAAGATGTTGACGGTCCTAACACATTTTAAATTCCTTAGAAGCACTGGTTTGGATGTTACACTTTTTCTTGCTGTTTACTTTTAGCTCTCAAAGCTCTGAGAACAGTGCCTGGCACATAGTGGAAGTTTGGTAAGTGTCTGGAAATTGAAGGTCCAGCCTATCACAGCTCGGTAGACACTCAGTAGTATCACAATATCCCAAATTAAATGAGCCACAGAGAAGCTCAACCAATACCCCCTCCTAGATCATCACCACCTGACTGAGGAGAAGCTGTTGGAATTCAGACTCGGTGCAGTGTCCAGCCAGCTGCAGGCTTTGGGTCTGGCTCTCCAGTGACGAGCAGTGACAGGATGTCGCAGATAGTGGGTTCATGCCACTTAGACCACATCTGCATAACACCCAGCAAGCTATTTCTACAGGAAATGGGGTTGGGGCTTCCCTTCTATCGCCTCTGCCATTTCCTAAACACTTGGTGAAAATGCTGTTGAATTTAGCCAACATCAGGCAGAACTCTGGAACTAAATATAAAGGCCAGTCTGAAAGGTCCAGTGGTTTCTTCTCTCAGCCCTTCCCTTCTCCCATTTCTGGAGATGCCACCACAATTTGGAAGTCTTGGACAGCTGTTTATTCCCAGCTGCCAATCACAATGTGTGTGAAAAAGGTCTGAGATAAAGAGGTGGGTGTTCTCTCTTCAAAGACTCTGCAGTGTTGACACTGCAGAGAGAGGTAGGAGCAGCAGCCTCATGTTACAGAATCACCTTCAATCACTGTTGCTATCTGGGCAGTTACTGCCGGTCTGGCCCAGGTGTCTCCCACCGTGGCTGGCTGTGCCTCCAGGGGTGGGTCAGTGTGTACCTGCTGCACGTCAGATTTCTGAGCCCTTCCAGCTGCCTCACAGAGTGAATCCTTTTAGTCTAGAAAATGTGTTTATTTGCTAAATATACTATTGTGTGTGTATGAGTGTGGTGCAATGCCAACTTTGGACTATCTTGTTAGAAGGACTGTATGCATTTACAGAATGTGGAATCTAATTTCGGGAGAGTATGTTGTCATCTTGCTCCATGAATGAGATTGCTCAGTCTCAACAGATCAGAGAAAATGCTCTGTCCCTCCCCACACCTCTCTCAGCACCCCTCCCCTGCCTAATGAGCTGTCCTATCTGATTCAGGCTGACATGGAGTAAGGGGCGCTGAGAATCTGTATGTATATAAAGACATAGGAAGAAGTAAGAACAATCACGGGCATCTGTTGGGCTTCTCCCCATGACTGTGGTCTTATCCAAGTTGGAATCACAAACTTAAAATTTCAAACAATTAAGATTCTTGCCGTCTCCAAGTAATTTGTTAAATGCTATTCAACACAGACAGATATTTATTTTCAGCCTTGGCTTGTAAATACCTACAAACTGATTCATGTTGGTGGTCATTATGACACTTTCTGTGAATTGGTGAATAAATATGATTTTAGAATTTCACAGTAAAGATGACCTCTGCGAGTTTTTATTCTTTAGCCTATTTGATGAGGTGAGATGGTGAGAACTGCTTTGGCTGG